GCAATCTACATGTACAGGAATGATACGGTGAAGTGACAAGCGATGGAATGATTCCAACACCCATTGACGCTGAAACGAAACGAGAAGGTTCCATCAAAATAAACTATAGAATAATCATCAATATGTATATATATATATATATTAGCATGAAAGTGGATGAATGGAATTGTCAATATGCGTAATTGCAACCGTGACCCGCTAAATGAATTGGCAAAGGCGTTTCCAACCAACGAAACAAATGTCAGTGTCTACGGCGAGTCGTTGTCCATGGAAGGAGAAGCTTCCAGGGCGCTGTTGGTGTCGAGACTGTGTGGGTATGCCCGGTGCCACAATTCGTTCAGCATATGCATGCAAGCGCCATTGTTGGCAACCCAGACCAGGAACTTGGCCGCCTGAGTGGGTGTCAATATGGCCCGAATATTGTCGAATTCCGATTCTAGATCTTCCCCGCATTCTGTCAACCTCGTCTTGAGTTCCTCGACCACTTTCAATGCTTTGTCTAGATGAGTATCGAGCTCTTGCGCTACAAAGCGGCTGTCCTTCAAGGCAGCCCCTTGTTCGGGCGATACCTCGAGGTGATTGACCAAGAACTGGAAAAGCGCCTTTGGATCCTGAGTTTTAGGCGGACTAGGTCCCTCGAGAGGAATAATGGAAGAATCCCCCGTGGTGGCAGCCGACTCAATGGTGGATGTTGGTGACACCGCAAAGGCATTGTTGCCGTTGTTGTTTTGTGGTGCATTTGGTATATCACCTCCCTGCAACGCTCTCATGGCAATGGTTGTTGTCTGAGTCGGCATGAGAAGCCGTTCAATATTCCGCAAATGAAATTCAATGGCGGATCTCCGGTCTCTCCCATAGTCGGCGAATTTTTCCTTGAATTTTTCAATATTCTCATAAATTTCAGCCTCCGAGGCACCACTCTCCAAGAGAGCATGAATCCCCTCGGTGACCTTTACTTCTTCCTGGCGGCGCTTGTCCTCTGCTTCTTCGCCAATCTACCGGTACATTGATTAGTTGTGGGGTGGAAGGAAACAATGAGACCTTAACTTCAAAAATCACATCATACTGACTGCACCAACCACCACCATAAGAACATATTATACCACACTGTACTGGCTGGACTCGAGTGACTCACCTGCAACTGGATCCGCAACCGGAGGTTCTCTGCTTCCAGCACATTGATTTCCCGCTCCAAATTCTCCGTAGCTTCTCGCTTTCGACGACGACATTCTCTGGCACTCAATCGGTTCTTCTCGAGACGCCGCAACTTCTTCTCGCTCAACAGTTTGCCGTCTTTGGAGTGAGTCATTAGGGGTCGTTTCGTACTGGCCAAGAGAGGACGGGCACCCGGCGAGTCGTTTGGTTTGCCTGCCGCCGCTGCTTCATTCTTGCCTTCCGCAGTCGGGGTGCTCATTTTTCTGTTTCGTCCTTGGAAATGTGGCTAATAATTGTTGTCGTTGTACGTATCGTAGGTCCAATATCCTTACCTTGTGAGCTGTGGTACCGAAGACTACTATCATCCAGTACCGTGCTCTATCGAGCTAAAGTGTTGTTGTCACGTTGTGTTTTGGCGGGTTTTGTTTCTTTGATCTTTGAGGTTCTTCGATTTGCTTTGTTGCGTTTGTGTTCGTGCTTTGCATTTTCCGGTACGGTACTCAGAGCAATAATCAATATGTTTTGTTAAACCTTCATGACTGACGTTGGTCCGATCTTTTCTCATTTTGCTTCCCGCCGCACATCATTATCAAGCATCTTGGTGAGAGCAGATCTAACACCTGGAACCGGAGAATACACAAGAGATCGGGTCAGCAACACGGCAGAACTAAAGTACTGTACTGGCCTCGGCTTTTTTGTTTGTTTCGTTAGTCTACACCTTCTTTTAGCGACAATCTACCTTCATCAATTAATTCGACCATGATGTCATTGAAACTCAAGACTGTTGGACTCTTTCTGCTCCTGGTGGTCGCCACCACTCAAGGCTTCACCACGGCCCCTCCCAGAGCCCTTGTCACATCTCCTCCCACCTTTTCTTCACAGCCATCGGCTCTTTCGGCTGCCGATGTCGATCTGGGCATTGTCGCATTGGTGGCTGGACAAGAAAACTATGGATTGGCGGTGGTCTGTCTCGGTGAAGCCCTCTGGTCCTTTTCCCAAGCCCCTTCGCTGGATCATGCAAAAGTCTTGATCCCCGCCGCCGTTTCGGCTCTTATTTTGGTGGCGGTCTCTGGACCCATGATTACATCTGGAGATGCGGCTGCCGTGACGACCGGCCTATTTATTGCCACGGGGGTTTCGGTGGGCTTGGGTGCCAGCTATGTGGCCCGACTAGCCGCCAAGTATTCGCCTTCGTCCAAAGAAATTGCAGCATTGGGATTGTTGGTGGCCATTGCTGGATTCTTTAGTTTTAGGTGAGTTTTTGGTTTTGGTTTTGTTTTCATGGTTTGGGAGGAGACTGTGCTGCATACCTGCCCTCATTCTCGCACTGTTCTTCTTCGGTTCGGTTGCCACAGCCAAAACCTGGTGGTGGATGGATTTGTCACTCTTCCATCCATCCCAGTGCCATCATTGCCCGAGATCTCCTTGCCTTCAATAGAACTGTAAATAGGCTAAAATGAAGCAGTGGTATTGCAATCATCAGCAGACCAAGGCGCAAGGGTGCATGAAGTGAGTAAGTCTCACGGTATAAAGCTAGTTCAACACGGTAACATAAGACCAGCGTGGTCAATTAGTCATTTAGTATTCAGAGAGACTTTTGGATTGTCACAGTCCCGATCGATACCGTATCTTCAATATTAGGTCTGCTGTTCATTTATTTGTTCCGTTTCTTGTACTCTGCCGCGGATTCTCGGTTCTTCTGTGACCAAATGCCTTTCTTTGCCTTTCGTGCATTTTCCTCCATGGTGAGATATTCATCTTTTCCAAGAGGTCCATAGACAGCTCCTCCTCCCGTGTACACTTCTGCCAGGCCTTCTTTCAACATTTGAGCATCCATGTACTTTCGCTTCCACAAAAAGGGAAATGGAGAGCGTGTAAACACTTCCGCCACGCCCCGGCTGTACTGATCCTTTTGCAACAACCGAATCCGAACAACCTTTTCTTCCAGCATGCTTTTGAGATGTTCCTTGGCATCGTTTCCAAAGGGTTGTCCTGATTTGCCAAATTTGGCCGTTTCGGGGGTATCAATGGTACAAAGTCGAATTGGCAGCGCCAGTTCCGAGACCTTCTCGCCCTTTTTCAGAGACGCGGGATGGAACCTTGTAGGCTGATGAAGAAAGCGAATTGTGTCACCATCGCTCACGGAGACGGCTCTTCCACGCAGTTCTTTTCCAAACAAGCTGGATGGAATGTCATTCATATCCGTGTACCGTTTCCAAAAGGGTCGCATTCGGCCCAACGAAAATCCCAGCAGAAAGGTGCTGAGGCAAAAGATCTTTTGGTGAAACGAGAGGCTGTTGATTTCTCGGACCAGCAACCCAATTGTGGCGGCAAAAGTGGTCCAGGCAAGCTTAATGGGAGCCAGACCAACCATACCTAGCTGCAGATTGCTTGTGCTTTGCATTGATTGCCCACTCGAAACAACATAATCGTTATCTCCACCTCGACTCTCAAGAAGAGCACTCAAGCCAGCGGAATGGTCATTGGATTTTATTGTTGGCACACGATTCGATGAATGAACAGGCGAAACCACCAGGCCCTGACAAAATGGAAATGTCGCGACATTGATCAAGAGGATGAACAAGAATGCAAGTCTCTTTCGATTGCTGATATTGGTCATGGTTTCGCTTTCGATGAATGCAGGGGAGGGGAGGATCTTCCTCACGAAGATCGCGAAGTAAAGCTACTAGTACCGTAGCTAGAAGTGTGCAGAGCTGTTTTTCACCACCAGGTTTTTTCTCTGGCAATTCAGTACTTCAATACTCTTGCAAGGCTCTGCAAATTTTGCTGCGTACCGGTAAGCTGGAAGGCGTTCTCACAAGCTGCAAGCACGACTAGGCAATGGTAGAATCGTATCCGCGACCATTCACTGGATCTTTCTTTCGTCCTTGTCTCAAACCTCAGACCGCATGCTGGCAACGACGTTTCTCATTCAACCTTACTACCGGTAGCTAGCATTGTAATCCCATCCTTGCTAGTAGTAGTCTATATATCAGTTGTGCAGCACTCCAACACTGTGTGCATCGATACCTCGACAGTGCTGCCTAAAGAAATTTGGTTCCGAGAGCGTCATGTCCTGGAAGAACGACGACGACAGCGATGCTGAAAGTTCCATTGCTTCCAGGGAAATTGACCAATGGGTAGAACCAGCACATGAATATGATAACATGGGTTACTTGTATTACGCAACCATGTCTTATGAAAAGACAGTTTCAGCTGTGATCACCCAGGCTTCTGGAGAGACTTGTGATATCCAAGGGACCTTTGATAGCTGTGCTGTAATTGGCGGTGACGAGCTGAGGAGACTGATTCTTTCGGACAAGTTCAAGGTCTCATCGCCCAATGATGGAACGATACCCCAAAAGGTTTGGAATCAATTCTCTGTCTTTTACAACCCCAACTTCGACGAAAGACCCGAAGTCGTGCTTCCCAGGTCCATCCCCAAATCATATCGGTATCTAAAGAACGATGCCGGCGGTATCCCAGTCAACTTGGGTGCCCAGGAAAAGCCTGTCTTTTTCTTATACGAATGGACAGTTACATGTCATTTTGTTTTGGATCGGAAGCAGGAACGAGTCCGTCTGGGCTTTACAAAGAAGGATACAGTCCAGGATCTTAAAGAGAAGCTCGGCCTGAGAAAGGACATTCCTGTGGATGAACTGGTTTTGTTTTTCAAAGGGGTAATTCTTCAGCAGGACGACGCCAATCTGCATGAAGCTGTGGGTATCCAAAATGGATATGAGATCAGTGTCATTAGGCGGCCAGATATCGCCACTAGACCAATTCAATCAATAGCCAACCCCTCCAGTGACCACCGGAGCAAGGAATTCGATTCATGTCAATCCATCGCCGATGCTGAGTATCGAACAATCACCATATCCCAGCTGTTGGATGTCGCCCTTCAGATTGTTCAGAGGTGCAAGATTGAAGGTTGGACGAGCACAAATCCTGACGATAAGGGGAAATGCTTGGAGCCTCAAGACGTGACACTGTACGATCTTGTGGAACACTTTATCAAGCCCACGACCCAGAAAATGAAGTGTAGCTATGCGGAGGCCATCAGCCCCCACAGCCAAGGAATCACCCCAGCCTACTTCGTGAGCCATTTTTGGGGCTCCAGCGTCTTTCACTTCATCTCCGTCTTGCTCGGGCACGCTCATGATCGAGGGCTTGGATACCATACACCTCTTTGGATTTGTGCCTATTGCATCAATCAACATCAGGTGTCCTCTGAACTGGGGACCGATCCCAAGGCAACACCGTTCTATGCGGCAATGCGTTTGTCGAAAGGAGTTGTCTCCGTTCTAGACACAGAGTGCGTTTGCTATTCTCGCGTCTGGTGTACTTTCGAAATAGCTTTGGCGCTTCGGGATTTCGTTGACAGTCCCTCGTCACAGCGATACCTCTATGATGCCTACACACTCAAGAAAGGTGGCCTCGTGGTAGGTCTCGCGGATGGTGTAGTCCAAAGTGACAAAGACTCGGTAAGGTACAAATCGGACAATGACGACAGTAAGTGGCAAAATCAACAAAGCAAGCGACAAACACTGTTCCCGATGGCCGTTGCTTTAACAGCAATGAAAGTGGAGATCCAAAAGGCCACTGCAACCAAATTAGAAGACAAGCATATGATTTTGAATTCGATCAGCGGGCACAGCCAAGATCAGGATCCTCCATCCTCTCATCCGGCCTACGAAACAATCAACGGCACTCTAAGAGGCAAATTTGCAATGTCATGCTATCGGGTTGCATTGGAAACGAAGGCTGATGTAAAACCCTTTCGTTCCACTCTCCTGACATCTCCCCTCGAGCGTGTAGTTGGAATCTTCGATAACTGTGATGGGTTCGAAAACGAGGCACCAGCGTTTCTCAGGAGCCTCAATGCGGAAGCAGTCAAGGAACTAATACTTGACTGCAGCGGCCTGAAATTCGAGGAATCCGAGGAGTTTGTGGTTGGGCTGGGTCGACTCTTCCGGCTTGAGTCATTCACGTTGCGGGCGACATGGTTGAGTTGGTTGGGCTGTGCCAAGGCGCTCTGGGGCGAGATCGCTGGTTTGAAGAGCCTTCAGAACCTTGACATCAGTTTGTGGATGTGCAAGAGAATCACCCATCTAGATGGACTACCGGAAGCAATTACCAAGCTACGAGTTCTCACTACACTCCAGCTAAACTTTGCGGGTTGCCCACTTTCTGAGGGCATTGATTCTTTGGCCGACTCACTTGCCAAACTTGAATCGCTGAAGACGCTGAAACTCGACTTTTTCAGATCCGAATGTTCGAGTGCCACCATCACCCGGTTCTGGGAGAACCTTGGAGCCTTGCGGCAACTGGAATGTCTTGGGGTGAACATGTTTCACAGCAAGAACTTCTCCAGTCTTGATGTAGTTGGCAAATCTGTCTCCAAGATAAGAATGCTGAAGAGTTTCCAGATCAATTGTTCGGACTGTTCAGTTCACAGATGTGGCCGCCTCTGGGAGGATCTTGGTACCCTTAAATGTCTTGAGGAGCTGGAGGCTGACTTGTCTTCAAACTCAAAATACGTTGAAGGTGCCAAAGACGGCGAAGATCCCTTCCAAAGTCCGTCGGGAATTGAACAGTTGGGAGACAGTATTGTGAAACTGAAGCTTCTGAGGAGGTTGAGGGTAAACTATCGAAGTTGCCATCTACGACAGGATCATTTCCAGATATGCTGGCGCAACCTCGGCCAATGCAAGGCACTCGAAACCTTATCAGTGGACGTGGCGTACAACCGCAGCATACTGGACATGGACGGTCTTGCGGAATCTATTTTGATGCTACCTGAGCTGCATAGCCTTCACCTCTACTTTACAGGTTGCCCATTGTCAGTTACAAGCGTCCATAACTTTTTGACCCGACTTGCAGCAGGCCTACGTGATAGCAAACCCAAGTTGTCACTTTCCCTGAGATTTTTCTCTTGTTGCCACCCTCGTCGACCAGATGACCCACAACAATACTATGACGAAATCTCGAGCATGGAAGAACTGACCGCTGCAGTCGACAGCGGGCAACTAGAAGAAGGCCTGGAAGCTTCGAGAAATCATTATAGCATGAGCAGGTGATAGGCCTGCTTCAAATACGTCCTAGGTCAGGCTGTGAGTGGTCTCCCGAACCGCCACGGGCTACCCAACCTGCGAGGAGTGGGCTAACCTGAGTTGACTGGACTCTGACCGGGTAGTGGAAAACACTTGTCCCACGATCTGGGTTCCAGGATCTTCGGAAGATACTGGAGTGAGTTTGACAGTGTTATCATGTCTTCCGTGTCAATCCCTCCGTTTTACAGTATGCACTCTTCCACGGCAAAACAATCATCGTTCCCCATAATCCAGCGCTGGCTAGCTAGTCTAGCAATCATCGTTCCCCATGTTCCAGCAATCAGCCTTTCCAGGTTCTAGCGGGCAGTCATGGATTGGTTTGGTGTCAAGAACCAACTGCGAGGGGCGCCAAATATTTTAAAGTGTCGAATACACGACCTTGCAACTCTACTAGTTTAGCAAACTGTCTTTTGATAGTCAAAAATTCTTCTATTATACTAATAATGGTATTGCATGAATTGTTGTTGTACAGTTGATTGGTGTTTTTGCTTTTCCTTGCTTTGTTTGGTGTGTTTGCCAATCAATTCTTTTTGGATGTGAGCTTGGTCAAGATGAGTAGCCACACAAAGCTGACAGCAGCCGTAGCAGCCACTCGCAAGTGCTTGGGCACCACTGCAAACATGAACATTTGCGCTGGGATCCACAAGGACCAGTATCGCAAGAGCAACTTTTCTTGAAAAATGTCATTTTTGTACTGGTTGAGTGCTTGTTTGATTGGTTGTTTTAGGAACCACGCCTTGATCATGTAGGCAGGTGGCAGCCACAGCATTGGCGCAAAGACAAAGTTGTCCAAAATGGCAGATGAAATAATGGACGTGATGCCTCCATGAGGGAACAAGGCAGGCAACAGCTTGGTGTAGACCATATTGCTCCCAATTCCCAAAATAGTAGAACCATATACCAAACTAGCCACGTGTTGTCTCCATTGAAAGGTGAATATTCCTTCACTTGGTTTCCATCCTTGCATTTGCGAAATGGAATCTCCCACAATGGAGTTTAAACCGCAGGTAGCAATGGATGCTTTCAATGGGTATGCCTTGTAACAAAAGGGAATCTTGGAGATGAGATAGGGCAGTCCTCCCCATGCTACCATTTGCTTGGAGATCAGGACGGCACAAGCCACAGCGGCCGATGCGGCAATCACTTGTCTCTGCTTGCGTTGCTGTGCTTCCAATAGCTCTTGTTGTGCCATACGAGCATCCATGACAATGGTGGAAACTGCGCTAAATGCCGGGTCCACATCGAAAAAGCCATTGTTGGCCACTTCGAATCTTCGGTTCTTGCCGTTGCGTCGCTGGAGCATCTTCATGGGAGTGTTAAAGTCGGCAGTTCCTTGATAAGGACCGTATACCCCTCCCACGTGAAGCGATGTGCTTCCTTCTTCTGGTTTGGGGACAAACACTGGTGTCGAGGGTGTTTCCACTCCCGAAAAAGTGACAGAAGAAGACGCAGCAGTACGAGAGGGTACCACAAACGCACTCACATCAAGAACAACGACAACGAGCAACAGGAGGAGGCCAAGGAGACGGATCGGCAGAGGCGCACACATCATCGTTGTTGTTCTGAGCCTCTTGATTCCAACAAGTAATACAAATGAGCATTAGCCTTCACACACCAAGCAAGGAGAAAGAATGGGATTGCTCCAACCGGGAGCGTTTTGACTGTGTTTTGGTTACCCATCAGAATGATTTGATTTGTTTCAATCAACTGCTGGAGGAGCGAGGACTGGTTGATGTGATGTGTTGCGATTTTTTTTCTTTTTCAACAGAATCTCCCTCATCCGAGATATCAGATTCCCTCTTCCAAACTTGCCTCCAACTACTCTTCCCCAAACAAAAAGTGAGTCCAAATTCCTTCCAGTCCAAGTGTGCAAAAACAGTACAACCACGGCACCACCGTTTGAAACATTCCACTTCATCCAAGTTGCTGTTTTTTTCAAGGATCCGATGTCCGACATTCCAGGGTCTGACGATCCGACATTCCATTTTGTCTACTCCAATGCCCTGGCATGCGTGACAGCGAAGTCAACGTAGTCCCACAAAAGCGTAGAAACACTACCAGCGAGTACGTGTTGCTTCCGCATGTTGCTTCCACACAGTCGTCATCCATCATCCAGCAGAATTGGAACTGCTTCAAGTACTTCCAAGTTCACGCAAAAAGAAGGCATCACCACCTCAGCAGCAACTTTGCGTCATCACATCCGTAGGATCCAGATCATTTCATTGTTGGAGCAAGTGTCCGAGGAGACTTTCTTACTCGGGAGCATCTGTCCACAAACTACAGTAAGCCATCAGGACAGGTTGCCGCGCGATGGGCCGTACCAGGTACAATCCTAACCCTAGGGTTTAGTTAGGTGGCAATGACAATGCCCTAACCCTAGCGTTGAAACCAGTGGCAATGACAACACGACAACACATACATCGTACATTGAGATCCAGCACGAAGAAGAGACAAGCCAAAACCAATCGACCATGGCGGAGACCAACGGCACTACTACTACCGAAGAAGAATCGCGCTACAACCAGCTGATTCTCCTCGTTGACAAGGCTTTGACGCACAGCCGGAAAGATTTTGACATTGATGAGGCCATCAAGGAGTGCTATGGAGAAGACGCCTCCATGTTTGAAACCAAGGATTCATCCGAGGAGAACTTTCTAGTATCCGCCATCAACGCCATGATTGATGACGTGAACAAAAAGGTCAAAAAGGGATTCTTGGACTACTTGGAAAAGGAAGAAATGAAACAAAAATTGGACAAACTAGAGGCAATCATTGCAAAGCTAGACCAGGAGGATGAACAAATGAAGCAAGCTGATGAGCAAGACCGGCGTACAGCACAGGCGGCTCTGGATGCCACCAGATTGCCAAAGGGTGTCACTCCTGATGGTCTCATGCGCTATCACATATACAACAAAAAGAAGGAGGATCTTGCATTGATGGAGAAAAAATTGGCAGAGGAAGAGGCTGCAATCGAAAAGCTATCAGGACAGATTCGCAATTTTGAATCCATTGAACGGGAGGGCAAAGAAAACATGGAGCAACTGAAGCAAACTTTACAGCGAGAGGAACAAGCTGTGAAAGCTTGGAGTAAACAAACCTGATGAGTACATTGGACGAGAGTACTTGAAAGGACTTCTTTGCTTTGGATGCTATCTATTCAAGCAGTCCACTCAGCAATGACGACAAGGCATATTTTAGGCCAAATGAATTGGGATGATTGCTTTAATTCTAGAGCTAACAATGACAATGATGATTGGGAAATATTTTTCGTCTAAGGCTTCTTCAGATTGCCAAAGATTAGCTTGAAGTCCTCCATGGTTGGTCTGGAGCTGGACATGGTTCCATCAGGATTCATTTCTGAATACACTTCATTTGCCATGCCTTTCTTCTTTTGCTGAAGTTCTACAATTCGCTCTTCGACAGAATCCTCGACGACGAACTTGCGTACCCTAACTGTTGCGGCTGTCTGGCCTGGAGGATATAGTAGAAAAGCAACGCAAGTTTGGGGTGAGATTAGACTTAGCTGCAGTCAGTAGAAGGAAGCTTCATCTCGATCCTGACGGGGCACATACCTATTCGATGGGCTCTCTTGATGCACTGATCTTCAACGCTTTGGTTCCACCACGGGTCGACAATAAAAACATTGTTAGCAACCGACAGATTCAGGCCTACGCCTCCTGCTTTCATTGAGACAAGCATCACAGAGCCTCTGCCATCCCGTCCTGGGTTGCTTGTCTTGAACCGATCCAACGCTTCTACTCTCTGTTTGAGAGACATTTTGCCATCCAACCGACCGCAGGGAATCTCAGAATCACCACATGCCGATTCTATCAGATCCAACATACCCAGGAATTGAGAGAATATTAGGACCTTGCTCCCAGGGTCCACCATCCAAATCTGGTCAAGCTCTCGCAATATGGCAGCCAGTTTGGAGCTTTGAGCCCCGTTGATTGCATTCTCGAGAACCCGCCTGGCTGTATCGTGGCGTTTCAATACTTTTTTGATTGGTGTCGGAGGCTTCGTCTTCTCGTTTAGGAAGGATGTAGCGTAGTTCCCTTCCCCCGACTTCGAAAAAACAATGACGCTGGACGCCTCTACCTCCGTCTGACAAACTGGGCAGGAAGATTTTGCCTTCAAAACTCCGACTAGGCACTCCTTGCAAAAAGCATGAGCACAGTTCGTGAGACATGACTTGACAATGAGAGGGGTCTCAAGGCAGATGGAACATTCCTCTGTGAGGTGCGTAGCTTTGTCCTTGACCAACTCTGCAAGCGCACGCGCAACAGTCTCAGGATAAGAAGTACTGGTATCGTTCGTTTGGGCGTGACGAAACTTCTGCATAAGACCTTGGAGGAACTTTAGTGGCAAAAAGAGTTTTGAGAAATCAACGCATTGAAACACTGCCGTACTCAGGTCATACTGATGCCATGACACTTACAGCCTCGTCAACTGTCGCGGTCTCTCGTGCTGCAGGCTTCACGGGCGATACAGCGGAAGCCTTAGCCACGGCCAATTCTCCATTGCTTCCCCCTGCAACAGCATCATTCCAGTCACCTTCGTTCAAGTGTGACTTGACCGTGAGGGCGATGTGATCACAAGCCATTCGAAGGCGGTGAAGCAGAGAAAAAATGGCAAGCCACGATTTGTTTGCAGTGCCTGCCTTGATGAAACCTTCGAATACGCCTAAGGACTTCTCCAAAAGGGCATTGTAAAAGTCTCTCTCGGCATCTGAGAGTTGCACGGTCACAACCTTCGCTTCAATAGGAGGAAGACTCAGAATAGGTTCTCTAACGAAAAGACTCCAGTGAGGGTTGTAAATCTTAGCCACTGCGCAATACCATCACATATTGATGCAACATACCCATTGGCCATGCGAGAGTCTTTGGTGCGACGAAGCATCAGTGGGCTCAGCAGCCGACGGACACGTCCAAGCGCTACCATCATCCCAGTTGGTTCATCCGAATCACCAATACTCCCATTCTCCCCAGTTTCGGTTTCCGTTCGGTTCATCTCGCTTGAGATGGCCGCTTTCCAGAATCCAGCCTCGCACCATGGTTCGTGCTGCAAAAATTTCACCAAGGAATACACATCTTCGAGGCTGGACAAAGCAGAGAACATGGTGAGAATGGCAGCACATAGATGACACGAGCGGTCTTGTCCCGCGCTTACCTGTTGTGAATCACGGTTCCAGTGACAACCCAGCGATACTTTGCCGTCAATGCACAGCAGGTTTTGGACGCTAACGTCTGTTGGTTTTTGATGACTACAAGCAACATTGTGGGCGGTTTAGTTCGATCGATTCAATCATGGTCTCATGGGCACTTCAGCAAAAGCAATGGAATGGATGATGCTTACAATGACCTTCATCCAATATAACCCGCAGCCAGTCCGTGCCTAGGAGACTACCGGCAGCACCGTTGGAACGACCGTTCTTCTTTTGCATCTGGAACTCTGCTTGCATCGTCCCGTACGTCGTCAACACAATATCAACGTTCAAGTCCACTCGTCTTTCCTTTGCAATGTCTCCGTAGCAAACTTGATAGGAGAGTTGAGTCTTTGTTTCAATCTCCTCTTCCCACTGGGACAGTAAAGATAGTGGAGCTACGACCAAGGTTGGCGCCTGCTTCACTTTAGTCTTTTCTTTGCACTTGATGATTAGCGCCAACAGCATCACAGTCTTTCCAAGGCCCCTGACGAAAGGAAGGAAAGAAGGAAGCAAGCCAATATACGATGGTTAGCAAGAGCACAAGGGAAAGAGCACAAGGGAAAGAGCAATGCATTCAAGGATATCAATCAGATTCGATTCATTGGTTCATTCGTACATGTCATCCGCGAGTATCCCGCCGCTGCATTGTTTGGGTGGTGCGGGTGCGTGCCATGTGGCAACTCCCAGCAGTTCATTGACATAAAAGAGAAAAGAATTCTCCTTGTTGTGGCTGGCAAGAAATCGTGGCTTCCAAAGAGGGTGATTCACAGGATTCGATTGTCCATCCAGAGTGGTGGCATTTCGTCGTCCAGCCTCCGAGACTAGAACCGGCCCACAGTCACAGGAAACATGCTGGTTTGTGGCTGCTCCATCTGCAATACTTCTGGTGGATGTTGTTGTTTCATTATTGGTGTTGTGGTTGTTGGCCTTGTTGTTGGCCACTGCGAGTTCCGAGAGTAGCTCCAGCTCCTTTTCGAGTTCCTCTCTGCTCTCCCCTTCTTGCTCTCTCTTCATCATCCAGTACAGTGCCTGACGTTGGTAAGGACGAAGGACAACCGAAGTAAAGCCCTTGGGATCTTGCATTTCTGGCAGCATTGCCGATTTGTTGTTACTACTGTCACTGTTGGATTCTGCATTGTTGATTGATTTGGCCCATTCGGGGCGTTCTCCATTGTCGTCGGTGTTCAACTCTGATTCTTCTTGAATCACAGTGTCATCCTCCTCTTCCATTTTGACATCTTCTTGTTCCTCCACAGCTGTAAACTCTGGAATCTCTGGTAGTTTGCCGTACTGAGCCCACTGCAAAAAGGCAAATGCCGTTTCTGGCAGCGTCATTGTTTTGCGTCTGGCAAAATGGGCTGGTACTCCCTTGTCTTTTCTATTGGAGAAGAACATGGACGATGCGGATTGCTTTCCATTGCCTCCTTCCTCCTCAAAGATGGCGAAAAAGGCCCGTGGATAGCGGAGATGGACACTTTTGCAAGGAATGATGCATGAAAGAAAGATGATTTCAAGAGACAAAGAGTCAGTGAACACAAACAAATGAATACTATCAAAACAGACCAAGCAGGATTGTTCTTGGCGTACTCACGTGAGTTTCAAAGGCACTTCTCCTCCAATGGGTATTCCCCGATCCTCCATGAGAGCCTCTCCATGTAGCTCTAGTATCGTGGCTTTTGTGTTGTTGTTGTCTTGTTGGCCGACTGGAAGGTTCAAGAGAGGCGTGACCAATCTTGACAAACTCTTGCTAAAGGATCCTTGAATGTGACTTCCTCGAAACCGCAAGGTGAGCTGTTTGTCGGAATGTTCCAATTGTAGTGTTTCTCTGTGCGCCACTCTTCCGTGACGAGTGGTACAGGTTCCAACGACCCATCTCTCACAGAGCAGCAATGACGAGGATGATACTGATACTGTTGCAGGAGAAATGGTGACGGGAGGAGTTCGTTTCTTTTCGGGTCGAGCAGAAGAAGAGTGCGTCTGTGTGGTACTGTCATGAGGAGACGGACGCTTTTTGGTAGTCGAGTTGGAAGGGGTCTTGTATGTAGTAGTAGTAGTGTTGGTGTTTGTTGTTGTGTGATGTCGATGATTGGGAGTTTTGGCGGGCACGGGTGCTAGTTTTCTATTGTTGGACGGCGTTCGTTTGACAACGTGTCTTTCAGTAGTGTACTGTTGTTGTTGTTGTTGTTGTTGTTGTTGTTGTTGTGTTTGACTGGCAGTTGGTTGGAATTGTCCCGTCATCAATCGCTCGGCTGCCAATTCGACATTGTAGGATGCTTGAGACAAGCACGTGGACAAATCCTTTTCCGAAAAGGATGGACAAAAATTGCGCAGCATTTCTAGCTTTTCCAATGTACTAGTACTGGCCGAAGAAGCAGCACTGCTTCGGGAGACACCTCCTCTGCTAGAGGACCGTCTTGCCATGGTGGTGGTCTCTTCTAGTGGTCTATTCTAGTAACTGTAACTATGATTGTACCGGTACACAGGTGGTCAACAACATACATCTCCAAAGAAAATGACACCGAGAGCGGGAAGATCGAAGTGGCGCGGCAAACTCGGATTTGAAGCACTTCGATGATCCGATTCGATTCGATTTAGTTCGAAAAATTCGACTGATTTTCGATTAAACAAAAATGACTTTATGCACGGCTGACTGAGTGTCCAAAGCCTCCTTGCATCTGAGCAACTTTGACTGGCACCCACCAGTCCGGAAGCAGGGTCACTTTTTGCTTCCTTCCCCTTTGGCAACCATTTTCTCAATTCAATAGAGTATTGATAGCCAAGTCAAGATAAAAAAGCAACCATGTCCAAGCCCAAGAGCCGAAGAAACCTTACCAAGGACGACAGCAAGAGGTTCTACACCAGCGAGAGTGTCCGTGATCTCTACAGCAGCAAGAGTGTCAAAGATCTGTACGGTAGTCTCGGTCCTCCCAGCAGCAAGGCTCTCAGCGTTGGCGACGACTCGGAAGAAGAAGAAGAAGAAGAGGAGCAAGTAATGGAACAAAACGGCAGCAGCAGCAGCAGTCAGAATCTCAACAACAATGATAAAAAGACGGAAAAAGATAAGGAAAATGATCAGTATTTGAAACTGCATGAAGTGCTCGAAGAAGCCTACGTGGATGACGACGAAAAGGAAGAAAAGTGGGAACGGGAACGCAAAAAGAAGCTTTTGGCCGACGTCAAAAAGTTAGTTTCCAAAAAGACAGTCAAGGCGCAAAATGATGCCGGAGAAACTGCCTTGCACGTGGGATTGCGGACCAAAGCACCGACCAATGTGCTCAAGCTCTTGTTGGAAGTTGATCCCGAGGCAGTTTCCTGCATGGAAGACGACAACAAGTGCCTGCCCCTCCATGCTTCACTCACATACAAGGCAGAATTGGTTTTTATCAAACAACTCCTCAAGGCATATCCCGAAGCCATTGACAAAAAAGACAAAAAGAAACGAACTCCACTTCATTTGGTCTTTGAGAAAAACGAAAATGCCGATCCCAAAGTGGCCAATACCATTTTGGAAGAAAGCGTCAAGGCGTCGGAACAGCAAGACAAATGGGGGCGGACCCCACTGCACACGGCCATTCAATTTCAGGCGTCTCTCGAAATTATTCGAAAACTCATCACGGCGGGACCGGCCGCGTTGAAGAAAAAAGATGCCAAGGAACGAACACCCCTTCATCAAGCCGTCGAGAAAAAGGCGCCTGTTCCGATTGTATTGGAGGTGATTAATGCGTATCCAAAGGTGAGAAATTGAATTGAATTGAATTGAATTGAATCAGAAACAAAAGATGTGTGGCTAATGATGGTATTGATTTGTGCAATCATGATGATGCTGTACCTTTTCATTCATTCGTGAACTAACCCAAAAAATCATCTATCTAATCTCTACCTTTGGTTACCCTGCTGCTCTCGGCTTCTGTTTCCATGGATTATAATGACACGACAATCAACACTACCATACATCATCAAAATTACATAATTAGGGTACGGTCGAAGAAAATGGATCCAAACGAAATCCTCTCCATGTTGCCATGGAGTACAGAGCTCCCAAACAGATTGTCAAAGAACTCGTCGAAAAGAGCCCCAAAAATTCATTCATGGACAAGACCAAAAAGGCACTCGTCATGCAGGATTCCTCTGGATTAACACCTCTCAGTGTAGGATTGAAATATCAGGCTCCCATTGAATGTGTCATGTTTGTCCTCGATGCATGTCCCAAAATGACAAAAGTCGAAGACAACGAAGGCCGACTCCCACTACACTTGGCCATGGAACACCGGGCACCCAATGCACCCATTGTCGAAGCACTCGTCGAAAAGAATCCAAAAGCACCCAAAGCACTCGATCAATGGTTGCGGACACCGCTACACAGTGGAATGGAATTTCGAGCGCAAGTCAATGCGGTACGGACCGTCTGCGACAAGTATCCCAAAGCAACACAACTGGTCGATTCCAATGATCGATACCCGCTGCATTTGGCCATGCGCTTTGAAGCGCACAAGGAGGCCGTTCAGATTGTGTTGGATTTGAGTCACAAACAAGTCGACAAGAAGGACAAATACCATCACACCCCACTGCACGAAGGACTGGCGCGACGAGCACCACACAATTGTGTCAAGATACTATTGGATCAATGTGATCCAGAAACAATCATGGCAGTCGATGACAAGGGCAGGAACTGTCTCCATTTGGGTCTCGAGAAGGAAGCCAAGGGCCGGGTGGTGCAAGAAGTCCTCAAACGATGTCCCGACCTGGCGCTGGCCCAAGACAAGGATGGGAACACGCCCTTGCATATTGGCATGATGAACAAGGCCAAACTAGAAGCAATTCAAGAATTTCTCAAGATCAAGGAAGCCGAAGAAATGGTCAAGATCCGCAACAACGATGGGAATACGGCCTACCAGTTGGGCCAAACCCACCGAGCACCAGTCTCCTGTATGCAGGCAGTACGCAATGTTTCGGATAAGAAGGTGCCGGAAAAGAAGGTACCGGAAAAAAAGGTACCGGGAAAGAAGAAGAGGGAAAAGAAAGACGAGAAGAAAGATATATCGTAGTGTAGCAAGCAAGCTATCGGCAGGGTAGTACAGTAGTTGAGTAATAGTGTTGTAGTATTTATTTTGTTGAGATACCCTTTGTCTTGCGGAGCGCGAATTGCTCTCTCTTTTGTGCCATAGCTGCAGTCCTCTCGGCATCAGACGGCCCATCTGTGCCAAATGCGGCCCCACCTACAAGCTAGCTTGGCTAGTAGAGCCACCCGTACCCACAACCCGTTGCCTAACATCGAGCTGATGATCTTTTGTTGGAATGACGAAGATAATGCAAGGGGAAGGTTCGGAACCGGTACGTACGATGTGCAATGTACCGGCATCAGGGTTTTGTTGTGACTGCAAGATCGATGACTCAAGGAAACGTCGTTCTAACGGAAGATCCTCACCGTGGAAACCACGTTGGTGGCACAGATGTCTCTCCGTTTCCCGTATCTTTGATCTCGACCAACCGAACCAAGCAAGATCTCGAGTGAAGGTCCTCGAGGAACTGCAAAGCGGACACAAATACCAAGCAAAGAGTGAACCTGATCAGGTAGCTGCCAATCGAGGTTTGCCAACACCACTTCATTAGAGTGTTATTGTTTCGACCGTTTCGTTCTCCTGGATCGAATTGCGTATCGGTAGAGCTCAAAATGGCAGAAGAATCAACTCCCAAGAGTCCTCAGAAGGCACAAGGTGGGGCCAAGGCTGGACGATCCAAGTCTCCCGGTCCTCGTAGAAACCAGCAGGGCAAAGGCAAGGGCAAATCGAAGTCTCCTGGTCCACGCAGAAACCAAGGGAAATCGAAATCCCCGGTTCGTCAGAACAAGGGAAAATCAAAGTCTCCAACTCGTCCCAAGAAACAGCAACAACAACAGCAACAACCCAAGGAGACACCTGTAGAGGCCCCTCCCCGTGCCAATGAGTTTGTCGTAGATGGCCTTGCCTTGCCTATGAGCAGTTACACGTCATACCGATCAGTATCTACCCTAGATACCATGCTTCAGGCTACCGCTGTTCCAGCAAAGCCCAGTCAATCCGCAAAGCAGAAGCTACCAAAGCAAACACAACAACCAAAGCAGCTGGAGGCTAGTAGTACCTCCAACCGGGCCGAGGAGTTAGTTGTGGACGATTTGGCCATGCCAATGAAGAGCTACACTGTCTACAAGTCAGCTGCACTCGAAGAATTGCCTGAGGTCCTGCAGTGTGATCCATTCTTTGGCAGTATTGCTGTGAAAAGTCATTTCATGGTATCATCTCCATCTACCAATTCTACTAACAGGGGTAGACAGGCGGAACGAAGTAATGGAAGCGACACTGCCGCTACAAACAGCAAGCAGTCCAATGCCAAGAATAACAACAGCAACAAAAAATCCAAGTCTCCCGTGCCCAAAGGTAATAAAAAGGGAAGATCCAAGTCTCCCAAGAAAAACCAGCAAAAACAACAACAACAGAAGCAGGCGGCTAGTACTCCCAACAAGAAACAGGCTGCAAGATCCAAGTCACCCAAACGAAACAAGGGAAAGCAGCAGGCAAACGGAAAGAAAGAAACCAACGAAAATCTGCCGACAAAGACCAGTGGCATGGCGAAATTCCTTCCCCATGTACAAGTGGATCCTTGTTTTGTGGGAATGGCAGCAGCAATGTGTGACCCATTGACATCGACACTGGGCATGGGTATCAACTTGGACGGCAGACTTGGTGTCTTGTCGCTGGTAAAACCTCTGCAACCAAAGACACAATCAAAGCCTACGCCGCCGTCAGTAGAATATGATCCAATCATCCCTCCGACCTATATGGAAGTCGAGCCGTTGGTGAGTCAAATGGTCCCGAGCGAACTTGCAGATGCTATCAACCTAGAAATGTCCAAAACACTCGAAGAACGGGCATTCCCTGATGAAAGTTTCATGTCGCCGGCCAAACCAACAAAGCAAAACAACAATGGCAAGAGTGCTCGCACTCCTGCCGTCAATAACGACTTGACGCCACCTACTAACTTGGCTGGAAAGGTTGCCTTCTTTGAACGGCTCATGAGGCAATCGCACGAACAACCAACGGTGGATCCGACTGTCAAGGTCAAGGCCGCCGTCTCTGAAAAGGTCAGGTCGGTCCACGATCAGGTTCGAACCAGTCTTGTCACCACCAAGAAAATTAATCCCAATGCTGGTTGGGAATTGCCTCAAGATGTGACTCCTTTGGCGCAGAAGCGAGAGCGAGTGGAGACTTTCTTTGAAAAGGAAGCAGACAGCACCGTTGCTCCCGTCAAGCCATCATCGCAGCGCAACTCCAACTGGGCCAAAGTGGAAACTGCTCCGCCTTCCAAGTTTGAGCCCCACCCTGAGGGCGACGAAAAAGACGAGCAAGCACACAAAGAAGAGCACACAGACCCATCGCCAAAGGTTGACGATCTTGTGGTTGCCATGGAGAAAAAGGTCAGCGAGGAGAAGGTCAAGGACGGGGAAAAGGAGAACATCAAGAAGGATGAAAAGAAGCAGCAACAACAGAAAAACAAAAAGGGCAAGTCCAAGTCGCCTCGCAGGAAAAAGTCAAAGTCCCCTGCACGACAAAAGCAACAGAAAGTGCCAGCTCCAGAGCCAGTGGTTGCCCCAGAACTGGAAGAGAAAGAAGAGGCCGCTGCAGAGCCCAAACCAGCCAAGGCACAGGAAACAGTTCCAGAGCCAGCAACAACAAAAAGCGAGACCTTGCCGGCAAAGGACGAAAGTCAGGCCGAAAACGATGGCACTGGGAAGCAAGGAAATAATCAGAAAGCCAGAAAAGGCAGGTCCAGGTCGCCCCGCGAAAAGCAGTCCAAGTCGAAATCACCGGTGCGCCAAGAGGAAAAGAAAGCACCAATTTCAGCGCCTGTTGCGGCGGAAGAAGCGAAACAAGACAACAATGGAGCCCCAGAACCTGTTGAGACAAAGGTGGTGCCTGTTTCTGCGCCGGCTCCAGAGCCTGAAGCTCCGAAGCTTGTGGAAGAGAGCAAGGCGACAACGAATGGAAACGACGAGGCTGAGGCTGTGGAGAAAACCCCAGAAGAAGTCAAGAAAGAGAAACCGAGCAACGAGGAAGCAAAATCATCCACTGCAAAGGAAGAAGAGCCCCCATCAGCAGAGGTCAGCTCGGACAAAGCCGAAACGTCGACTGAACCCGAGACAGCCGAAGGCGAAAAGAAGGTGGATGCTAAGGCCACCGAGGCGCCGACAGTGGAATCAAAGGCTGTCTCGACGAATGAAGTTCCTGCTGAAAGTGCTTCTAAGGATGCGGCATCGGACGTGCCGGAAGATTTAAAAGGTATGTCTGAGGCGTGCGCAATATTCCCGTCTATCGTAGCAAGTTTGTCAATTGACGAGTTTCCCTCTCTGGAATTAATAGGCCCAAAGCCGTCCCCCCAACGCTCACCAATGCCCATCAAGGCGTCTACACCTTACCCCTCTTACGCACTGGCGCTTGCGAAAGGGAAAAAGCAGGCACAACGGAAGCTCCTGTTTTCTCCTGCAAAGTCAGGTGGCAATGGCGAGGTCGGAACTCCTGAAGCACCCAGGGTCACTAGCGACGTGGATGAGCTTATTGCGAGGGTACTAGGCAAACCGACAACTGTGAAGGGTAAGGAAAGGTCGGAAAAGCCCAAGAATGCGGTGCCTTCTTCCGCCAGCGCTGGCAGCGGAACTCGTTCCAACGAAACGGGAAGGGCCAAAGTGGAAGAAATGGCCCAGCGTCTTGCCGATGCCAGCCCTCAAAAGAAGGTTGATGACCTATCGTCGATATCTGCAGAGACCGATTCCGAGTTCAAGAAAGTCGTCACCGATGACGAGATCCGAGAAAAAGCTTGGGAGTTGTTTGAACAGAGTGTTCAAGGTCAAGCCGCTGCGGTCTCGGACGCCCCAACCGTCCCTGCGACTACAGCTTTGAAGAAGGCCAACTTCAACCCATATGATGTGTTGGATGATGAGCCTGTTACTCCAGGAAATGAGGCGAAGAAAACCCCCAAAAAATCAAAGAAAGGGAAAAACAAATCGTCCAAGCCGGAGGAAGTATCCGTTACACCGAAACAGACGAAGAAGGGGGGGAAGGGCAAAACCCAAAAGGCTTCAGCATCACCAAAGAAAAAGGGCGTTCGATTCGAGACACCTTCAGCAGCAGACAAGGGTATACTGGACGCCAAGGTGGTAGAATTGCAGCATTCCCCACCCACCTTAGTGATCCCTTTGCACATGTTGAACACCTTGGTCCACACAAAACCATTCTCGTATATTTTTGACGGCATATTCTGGATTCTTGCTCTGCTGCTGGGCTGTCCCGTGGGTGCCATTGTGGTGCTCCTAACTGCAATCTACAGACTGTTCGGGTTCTTTCTCCGACTCTTTGGCATTGGGGTGATCAAACCCAAGAAAAATCCAGAACAACAACTGGGGGTGGTAGTTACGGGTTGCGACAGTGGTTTCGGGCATGACCTGGCTTTCTCCCTGATGAAGGAGGGATTCGTAGTGTTTTGCTGTTGCCTTCGCAAGGACTCTCTGAAAATTTTCGAAGGAGAGGAATTGGCCACACCACTCCTGATGGATGTCACAAAGGATAATGATGTTGACAAAGCCGCCAAGCTAGTCGAGGATTGGCTGTCTGGTGCTGACGGAAGATATTTGCATGCGCTTGTGAACAATGCCGGAGTAGGCGCTGGAGGATTGGTGGATTGGATTCCAGTGAGCGGATTCCAGAAACACATGGATGTAAATTACTTTGGCACGATCAGGTGCTGCAAAAAGTTTCTCCCTCTGTTCAGGTTCCAAGCCGCCTCGGGATTTTACTCGGATGCTCGAATTGTCAACATGACTTCCGTCGCTGGACTTGTTTCTGGTGGTATGTTTTCTGTGAGTTATGAAGCATCGAAGCATGCCGCCGAGGCATTCACGACAAACTTGCGGTTGGAAACCAGAGCGTTGGGACTGCAGGTGTCGGTCGTGAACCCAACATTCCACAGGACTGCCTTGACGAGATCAATGGGTGATAACTTGAGAAAGGTCTGGAAGAGTTTGCCTGCCGAGAAACGCAAGGAGTACGGAGAAGGTACGTCTTTTCTAGTTGTATGAATACACCCTTTATCAGGATCGTGGACCTCATGTTCATTCCTTTGTTGTGTTGCCGCAGATTATCTGAGCGATGCTTGTGAAGTCAGCGACTTTGCTTCCGACGTGATTTGCTGGAACAGCTGTCACGTGGTTACGGCGATGCAACAGGCCGTGTCATTCAAAAAGGCACCGGTCCGATTATTGGTTGGCATGGATGCGAAATACGTCTTCTCTGTGATCCACTTGCTCCCCACTTGGTTCACCAGTATTTTCAACAGTAGGAAGTTTAATATCGACCCTCCCGCCATGATGCAAAAGAGCAATTAAAAAGTTGTGTAAGAAAGGAGAAAGGAAAGGTCAATGCTTGACCTGGACCCAACAATATATATGCCATAGAAAACCTATCTATTTCAACCACCTCACTTACTTCGCGGTTCGTCAAACAATGATTGGATGCACCATGTCATGCCCTTCAGAGGATTTTAAGTCATCCCTGATGCAATAAAATTAGGTGGTCCCTCTATTGATCTCATTGCGAACTTCTTTGAGTTCTGTCTCCTGTTCACCGAAGCTTATTGCAATAGTAAAGGTCTGGAGGCTCCCAAAGTCCTGTGTAGCGTACATTGAAGCTAGCTAGCCAGGGTACCGGCAGCGTTCTGAATACCGGTACCAGGTACTACTACCGTAGCTAGGTCGTGGTACCAGAACTGCTAAGTTAGGCAGCGGAGCTGTTAGTCGTTGTTGAGACCTCCGTCGATGACACCAATCAGGTTTGAGAATGACGAGGGTGGCGTCAACCCAAAGTTGACACCAAGCGTTCCCAAGGATCTTTCGTCACAGAAGGCAATCACATACCTATTGCCAACATCATCGACGATAAGACGTGACGATTGGATCTGTGGCATTTTCACAGCACAAGACTCCCTTCAATACTCAGTGTAACAGAATTGAATTGCCATCGGCCATTAGTTTTGCTTTGGCTGGCCTTCTCTTCCATCCAAAACACAGCACACTTTTTCGATTGCTTCATATTTTTCTTTCTGTGGGAAGATAATTAATCCCATATTCTTTCTGTGGAAGAATCCCTGAAGTGCTTTTCTTTATCCAACAAAATGGAATTCCGTTCCGAGTCTGTTCATGTGGTTGTCCACGCTCCACGCAATGCGGCTGCTGAGGAAATGCTGACCCCAGACGCTTTGCGTTTTGTGGGAACCTTGTGTGCCAAGTTTGAAGGCCGCCGCAAGGAACTGTTGCTAGCCCGCAAGGCCAAGACCATTGAGTACGATGCGGGAGAGTTGCCCCATTTTGTGTCCAATAGCCCTGCTGCTCAGGATCCTACTTGGCGCTGTGCTCTCGTACCCCATGATATCCAAGATCGCCGTGTCGAAATCACGGGACCAGTGGACCGCAAAATGGTGATTAATGGTTTGAACTCGGGCGCCCAGGTCTACATGGCTGATTTTGAAGACAGCAGTAGTCCAACCTGGAGCAATTTGATTGAAGGACAGCTCAATCTTCGTGATGCTGTTCGTGGAACCATTTCCTTCACGAATCCTGCCAATGGCAAGGTTTATGCCTTGAAGCCAAAGATTTCGACACTTTTTGTGCGTCCTCGTGGATGGCATTTGGAAGAGGCACATGTCACTGTCAATGGCAAGGTGGCCTCTGGATCCATTTTTGACTTTGCCCTGTACTTGTTCCACAATGTCCATGCATTGACAGCCAAAGGCACCGGTCCCTACTATTATCTTCCAAAGCTTGAAAGCCACTTGGAAGCCAGGTTGTGGAATGATGTCTTTGTCACGGCCCAGCAATACTTGGGAGTTCCTGTGGGGACTTGCCGCGCCACAGTGCTGTTGGAAACCATTACGGCCGCCTTTGAAATGGAGGAAATTCTCTACGAATTGCGCGATCATTCCTTGGGTTTGAACTGCGGCAGATGGGATTACCTGTTCAGCTACATTAAAAAGTTCAAGAAGCATGGTGACAAGATTGCCCCTGATCGTACCCATTTGACCATGGGAACTCCTCTCATGGAAGGTAAGATGTTGTTCGTTGGCAAAAAAATGCATCCGTGAAGAAAATCTTGGCAGCAATAGTAAACTCACAAACAAAATTTTTCAGCCTATGTGAAGCGGCTTATTTTCACTTGCCACAAGCGTGGAACGTTTGCCATGGGAGGCATGTCGGCGGCCATCCCCATCAAGAATGATCCACAAGCCAATGCTGCCGCCATGAAGAAGGTGGAAGAAGACAAACTCCGTGAAGTCATGGCTGGACACGACGGTACCTGGGTCGCTCATCCTGCTTTGGTGACGGTGGCCCGCAAGGTCTTTGATCAACACATGCGAACGCCCAATCAAATCACCAGCAATCCCGGTATGGTAGGAGCATCCATTTCCGAGGCGGATTTGCTTCGTCTTCCTCGTGTGCCCCATGGACAAGCCATTACCAGTGCTGGATTGGAAAAGGGCGTGGCCATTGTCTTGGCGTACACTGAAGCCTGGTTGCGAGGTGTCGGATGCATCCCACTGAACAATGCCATGGAAGATGCTGCTACCGCCGAGATTAGTCGTGCTCAGATCTGGCAGTGGAGGTACCAAGGTGCGGCAACGCAGGATAACGGACAGCCCATCACCGCTGAACGTATTGCTGGCATTGTCCAACGGGAAGTAAACCGTCAGTGTGGGGGAGCGACTGCCTCCAAGGGCAAGTTCCGCTTGGCCGGAAACCTGGTGAGTTTCTTCTGCTGATCATGGTTTCTCACAACCCCCTGCGATCGCAAGCTCCTGACCCATTTTGTTTCGTATCCGTGTAATTGCAGGTCGAGAACATGTTGAACAAAGAAGAGTTCGATGAATTCTTGACTACCGTCTGCTACCCTCACATTGTGACCAATGTGCAAGAGCCTGGACTCTCCAAGTTGTAGGCGACGTTTGCAATTGGATCATTCGCTGAACCCACAAGCAACAACAACAATAGCAGATCTAGAACAGCCAGTTGACGGGTTCTTGTTGTTGGGATGCAAAAGTATTACACTATTCATTAGTCTAAGTACATGTAGCAGCAATGCTGTAGGTCTTCTTTGTTGCTTTACCCGCATGTTCGTTTAGTTTTGGTTTAGTTTAGCTGACTGGTCCATTGAGCTAATCATAATGAGCAGCTTGATTCCATTTCAACCATGCCTCCCACACCAGCAGTCCGTCTGGAACAAAGTCCCACGTTGCCCAATCTTCCACGGAGCTACTGGTCTCTGCCTCGGGTGGCTTGTTCCCCTTCCATTTGGATTGAACGGCTGGTAACAATCCTGGCCACTCTTGTTTTCCCACCAGTCGTTTGATGGACAAGTCGGCAGCTGCTTCCGCCGTGTCATAGCGCACAAAATCGCCCCATGATACTTCCTCTTCCTGCCAGGAGATAGTTTCCACCGAGGGATCCATTGTATATTGAAAGACAGTCACGACGCAACGGTTGTAGGCCGTGCATACTACACATTGGAATAAAGGACCGGATAGATTTTGTTGATTTTCTTTCAGCGCTCGAGACAACCCCAGCTCTTCCGCCACTTCTCGGGCGGCCGTGAGTCGAGCCTCTTCACCCGAGAGCGAAACACCTCCAACAAACATATCGTAAAGACTTGGAAAGATACGTTTAAAGTCGGTGCGGCGATGGACGTAAAGCTCTGAGAATTTTTCATCCTTGGACACGGTCAATCCAATCCCTCGATGAAGGATATTCAAGGAATGCACCAAGGTTCGAGGCACCATGGCCAACACATTGCCCTGTTGGTCCACCATGTCAACGATTTCGACGCCAGATGTCGAATCTACCTCAAACAATGTAGGAATGTCATCCAAGGAGAAGGTGACACCAGCAAATTCCTCTTTCGTCTCGTCGCCTGAATAAATAACAAGATTCCAAGCTTTGGTCTCGTTGTCAGAAGCGTTGGCCGTATATTGAGCCAATGCTTTGGCCATGGCAGACAGTAGCTTGGCATTCTCCGCCAACAAAGCAACATTCGTCGATGATGATATTTGAACTTGAAGAGTGTCTGGTTCCAGAATTTTGCTTTCAAGACTAATTACTGGCTTTGATAATTGTTGTGTATTCATTCGATGCAGCGCTTTCCAAGACCTAGCTCCTTCTGATAGACTACCCGCATCCGATTCGCTTGCAACGGCCTCCTCAATGGGTATCAGCGACCACAAAATACTCTCATCATCTTCAGTGTGAGAAATATCCACAAGGAAGGATCCCACCAAGGATAGCGTGGGATTGTTTGACGATGGGAGTTTGGAATCAACTGGTGTCAACGCTGGATCCATTGTGGATGCCCGATCAGAACTGGTTTGGTACCTGGAAGTGGCCGATCTTGTCCTCGAAATCCGACTGTTGTCAAAGATGAATAATGAGGGCGTCTGAAAAGACGTAGTTGCAGTCACAAGCAGGCACAGGCAAGCACAGATAAACTCGACTGTCGCACGCCCCCGTATTAGACCTTTCCTTGCTGTCACCATTGTCGGTAGTCTCCAGACTTCTGGAAGCACTCCTGCTGAACACAAGTTGGAGTGAGGTTTCAGCTCCATCGTGAGGTTGCTGTACTGCGTGAGTAGGTTCGTCAGAGCGCTTCCAAAAGATACGGTACCGGTGGCTGCTACCACCCCGGGATGCATGTAGTGAGCAACCTCACAACGTTGACAATGATCCTGATCGAGATGTCATGAACCCTGCAAGGCGAAAGTTTCCACCTTCTTTCTACCGCGATGTCTTTCGACTTCTGAGGAGAGATCATACTCCCGTAGTAAAGGTAGCGCCCAGCCAGATTGCCCCAGATGCAGGCGATGGCGTGTTTGTGTCAATGCCACAATCGAAATCTTTGACACCCTTATGCCTGTACCCCGGGATTTATACCCCAGGATTGCCACATCGAGCCGCTGATGAAGAGATTGTCTACATGGCCAATGATCTACTCCCACCCAGTGGAATATCCAACGAGGACAATGCCTATATCTTGAATCTTTCTGAACTGGGTGGGTACATGGATGGATTGGCATTGGGAGGTCACTCCAAGAACAGACTGGATGAAAACCCCGTCGCGTGTGCACACATGATTAATCATTCATCGCAGCTTGCCAATGCAAAGATTGAGCCATTTTACTGGGAGGACGTATTTCGGGAAGGAGGGGAAGAAAGATGCGATACTGGCCATTTGTATGGCAAGCCCAATGAGATGCGAAACGACAATTCGCCGTGGTATTTTGACGGACTTGAGAACAAGCTGTATCGTTTCAGAGACAGTGACACTCAGGTCTCCCTGTGTTGTGGAGTCGCTGTATTCGCAACTCAGCCGCTCCAAGCTGGGCAAGAGCTGTTGCTGGATTATAAGCTGAACCATCCTCTTCCTTCATGGGCAGAGTCTTGGTATGAAATGTACTAACTGAGCTACGTGTATTAACTGATGCCTTTGCTGGCGAGTCAAGGTATTCAGCACCCTCCTGCCAGGACAGGGGATGCATTCCAGTGGAAAAGCCATGGTCACTACTAGAGATTTCTGAACAGCAAACTAAATAATTTAGCCACATAAAATTCTACCCGACCGAAACAAACAAATCCTTGAAATAGCTAGAGACTGTTTAGAAAGAAGCCCCTGCACCCGATCAGCGTAGAAGGGCAGCACTTGAGGTACATTCACTGTGCCCGCCGATGGCATTGAATGCAAGAAGCGCTGTCAGCTTTCGCTGAGAAGTTTTAGTGCCTACATGGATGCCCAACTCCAATGCTTTCAACAACGTCGAAAGGAAGACGCAATGATCAAGCGCCTCTGAAAGCATCGACGGCAGTGGAATGGCACTGAACGCCGAAAACTGCAACGGGGGGAATCCCTTTTTGCACTTGGATAACTCCAGATGAAGCTTCTTCTCCACCATATCGAGTTCTGCTTTCATTTCGGAGAGCATTTGTTTATCGATCTCTTGCGGTGCTGTGGCCATTTCCTGTAGGTCCTGCCCAATTTCGAGCATGGAGAGCACCGCCTTCGCAGTAGGAGAAAGGTCGCCCTGACAGCTGCGAAGCAATTCCATGCATTTGTCGACATCACTGTTTCCCATGAACAGGATGTTGGGCAAGATGACTTGGTCACATACTGCCATAGCTTGCTTTGTGGAGAAGGATACAAGATGATTGATGTAGGAAAAGGGATCACCGACACTCGCGCTGCGATAGGCAAAGGCTTCCGAACACCACTCCTGGGGCACTCCGATTTCCGAAAGGAAATTGTTTCTGACATTAAAGTGCGGGTCTGCACGGTGGTAGAATTGCAGGACAATGCGCTTCGCCTTCGCTTGTTTCCATTCTGTCTTGGTTGACTCTAGCACATCATGATTCAATGAGCACAGGCAAACATAAACAGCCCACTCCCAGTGACCCATCCCGATCAGCTGCGTACAATATCCGTCGATGACTCGCTCTTCTTGAAATACAGAAAGACTCGAGCAAATCCCAGCGGATGCCAAAGCAGACGCAAGGAAAAAGGAGACACTGAAGTCATGATGGAAACGAGAAATGCCATCAGGATTGATGACTTCGGCGCAGGTTATCAACTGAGGAGATTCGGTCAAGCGAAGGAGCCGAAACAAGATGCTCTGGACTCTCTCTCGTCCTCCACGAATGTATGAAGGAGAGGGATACGGTGCTTGTGAAGTCTTGATGTCCGTTTGAAAAGATTCAAGGACCTTGGGAAGACTAATATCTTGTAGGGGACTTCCATACAGCAATTTGATCAAAAGCGTTGTCATCCATTCTTGTTCTCCCCCTTTGTTGGATGATCCACTACTGAGGAGACTGTAGATTTTCCTTAAGCCTTCATTGGTGGTTGCTTTGCGTGCCTGAGCGGCAATGTCTGCCGACCCCTCCATGTCAAAAGTTGCGATGCAAGCAGCAAGGTCTTCTTGGCCCGCAGCCACAGAAATCTCACATGCTTTCGACAAGTTGCCACCTTTCAAGGCTGCGTGGACCGCAGCAAGGACGTCGTTGCGGGCCATGGCTTGGTCAACACCACGGTCTGTTGATGTTTTCAATGCATCCACAAGGAAACGGATCACTGCCTCTTTTCGGAGGTCCATTGAAGGTTTCGTAACAGTTGCATCATCGTCGACCAGACAAGCCAACAGAGCAAACGACAAACTCCCAATGTCCTCTCCCTTGGGATTCCCCTGCAACGCCACCAGTGCTTGATGCAGTGCTTCGTGTGATTTTGCATCCCCATTAGACACACTCCTTGGTAGCACAAATCGTGGAGATCGATCGTCAACCTCGGTGGGCAGCTTCGAGCTGCATTGCCTGTGGGCTTCTAATTGCTGCTTCGAACGATTCCAAGCCGACTTCCCACCAGCATTCTCGAAGACCGGGCGGCGCTGTTCCAGCTTGGTTCCTCCTTGAGCAACTTTCAAGAAGGAACCGTTTGGGCTCCAGCATATGCCGTGGCTTCGCCCAAGTCGCAATCCGTACTCAACATTCTTTGGCATGCGACGTTCACTCGCAAAGGCTTTTGTGGACATCCTATTGCAAATGCCCGTAGTGGCATGTTGTTTGGTGGCTAGAGATTGAGTGAAGTAATGACAACAACAGTCGATCAAGAAAAGAAAGGAAGAAGCCAGTGTCAGATCCAAACACTTTGTGACTACACTAAATACTATTGCTCTAGCTAGACTTGTAGCAGTCACTCACCCTTATCGTAATCATCCGCAGAGATCAAGGTTGTGCTAAAACCCATGCTGCGGCAATCAGGCGATTCGTAATATTCGTCAAAGTCACAGTCATCAGTTTGCTCTTCGGACAGTTCCATGTCATCATGCAGCGAGGTCTTTGGGTGTTTTGAGTATGATTTCACAGCAGAGTAGATTGAATCAAAAGCCTCCTCAACATGATGATCCATTTCAACATCACTAACAATGGCAGCATCATCTTCCTTCTCAACAGATTCGGTGTAAAGCTCATCTTCGCTCTCGTCGTCATCGGAAAGACCGTAGCGAGAAAAATGGCCCACTGGGAGATGCAGGAAACGTATTGTGAGCGGCATGCAACATGTACCAGATGACATATGATGGCATTGTAATTGTCGTGACTTACCTGCGATTTTCCATGAGCCCGTGTCTTTGTCATATTTGATAAGCTCAGCGTCCATCTTTACAGTTTGACGCTCAATCCTTCGAGCGAACTTGACCTTGTCTTCGACGCTGGCATTAGCCCCTCCATTCTTTGGGAAGACATTGAAAAAGGTAATAACTGCAGGACGATTCAGTTTAGACCCGACCAGAGGCTTTCTTCCTTCTTCTTCATCCTTGGTGTAGACAGATACATCATTCTGCCCAATCACAATGGAATTATCCAGGTCGGCATTGCGAACATCAACGGCACCTTTCCACTCAACCAGACCGTAAGGGTCGCAACGAATTGAAAAATTTGACACAGCTGCCAAATCTGCCTCTGACAGAGTTGCAAGCTCATCCAATGAGGGTGTAATGACGTAACCTGGCTTTGTTAGCTTTGGCAAATAAGAAGGCTTTTTCTTTGTGACTCGAGCGCTTTGCGGCGCTGGCCGATCTGCAGGATTGCCATCTGGTGAATCAACAACCTGCTGGTAATAGTCTCGATCAGGATCTGGAGGAGGGGGGTCGATCTTCTCGGCAGTGACAGGAGGAATTCTGCTTCCTCCGTTGACAGTTGGGGATGTAGGGGTGCCAGCGTTTGCCTCGTTCCCAAACACTGGAACAGAAGTCGGCGTGCTTGTCTGCATCTGCGACTGTCTGGGAGAAGGGGACGATGCTGGCGGGGCTGTTGCAATTGATGGACCAGCATTTCCAGGGGCTGGGCTCTCGGCTTCAAGTGACACTGGCAGCGCATGGGTTGTGACATCAGAGGCACTCGAAGGTGCGTTCATCAATCGCAACTGCAGCTTTGGTTTGGGAGTCAGGGAATCTTGCTTGATTACGAGCTTTTTCGCCGAGGAAGACACGTAAGCCTCTGGAGACATCATAGCCCGACCGCCTGTACCCATAGTGTCCAAGGGCGACGCAGATGATGAAGGCGCCGCGATAGCTGAACCAAAACCACGAGGCCTGAGCTTTTTCGCCGCTGAACCAGGATTGTGCCGATGAGGGGTGTATGGCGACGACCGCACGAGGCCACTGGCCAAGCCTCCGTACTGGGGCTGCGAGACGGGAGTTACACGCGACTCCTCAGGTGATTTTGTTCTCCACACGTCCAGCTTTTGCACTTCCTTTCGTTTATTCTCGAGTGCCTGGATTTGATGAGACAAGACTTCGCTTGCTGCCTGGGGAATGATGGCTCCCGCCGGAATCATCATGGGAGCTGCCGCCATGGCCGGTGGGGAGCCAAAAAGACTGGGCGCGGCAGCCGTGGGTGCGCCGAAAGCGGTCGGAGGACTACCAAATGCCGCCGGCGCTGGAGCCCCGAATAAACCAGTGCCAGGTGGCTTTGCCCCGAACAGGCTTCCTGCCGGTGGGGCTGGTGCTAGCAAATAATGACCAAAAAAATCGTTAGTGAGGAAGACTTGATTGTTTCAAGGGAAACACCGGAAAGAAACGTACCACCAAACAAGCCTCCAGGGGCAGGTGTTGCTCCGAAAGCGGGCGCAGGAGCGGGTCCAAACAAACCACCACCAGGAGCAGGAGCTCCAAAGCCAAACGCCGGTGGGGGAGCTGAAATATTGAAATAAACAAAACACACAAGGTCAGTGGAGAAAACAAAGAAAAAATCAACAAAGAACGAGACTTGCTTACCTGGGGCTCCAAATGCAGGCGCGGGTGTGGAACCAAACAACCCTCCAGGGGCAGGTGCGCCAAACAAACCGCCAGGAGCGGGCGCAGGCGCTGCAGAGAGAAGTAAGCAAACATAGCAAAGGTGAAACGACAACCAAAGACGGCAATGTGGATGGGAACAAATCAACAACACATCGTACCTCCAAAGAGACCTCCTGGGGCTGGAGCGGGTGCTGGGAGAGAATTAGTTTTAGCAGAAAGAGTGTCAGCGCAGTCGAACAAATGAACACAAATCATTGGTCAATTCAATAATGATAGATTCACATACCTCCGAATGCGGGGGCAGCTGCTGGTGAACCTCCTCCAAATAACCCCCCTTGTGCAGGAGCTGGTGCTCCGAAGAGGCTTCCAGTTGCTGGTTTGCCAAAGGTACTGCTACCAAATGCAGGCGCAGGAGTGGCGCCGAAAGCGGGAGGAGCAGGCGCGGGTGCTAATGCGAAAATGAAATGGAGGAGAATACAGCCATGAGAGAAATGCGTGAGAACAGAAACCTCAGCTGCAACTGACACGACCCGTGGCTGGAAAGATCTCTTCGTGTAGCCCTCAATCCGGTGCCACTGAGACTGTGAAGGCGGTCCTTTACAATAATCTCAAAGTACTAGTACCAGATGGCTTGACAAAAGGGACACTTCTTCCCAGCACTTCTTCCCAGCCACAATCGTGTCATCACATTGCACTGTGAACAGAATAGTCTTGGACGTACCACCAAAGGTTGAACCAAAAGCGGGGGCCGGTGCTCCGAATGGGGCAGGTGCTAAAAAGAAAAACGCCACTCTCCCGGTCAGTACTTTTGACGATTCCAGCTCAACCCGATCGCCTTTGATATCCAATTTCGTTCCAAACTAACTTACCTGGTGCTCCAAATGGCGCTGGAGCCGGTGCCCCGAAAGGGGACGTGGAAGGAGCCCCAAATGCGGGTGCTGGAGTGGCACCAAAGAGACCCCCCGACGGTGCAGGAGCTCCAAATCCGCCAAAACCAGTCGAGGCAGCATTCCCTGCTCCCTTGTTTCCTTGAAGGTAATCTTCGTACCTCAATTCGTCGAAATTCTTATTCTCATAAGCCGGCATTGCCGAGATGGACTGCATCTGGATGGTGCTAGTACCGTCCTGGCGTGGTGTGGGTTGATAAGGTGTTTGTTTCGATCCACCCCCACCTGGTTGTCCAGGGGCTGCTGCTGCAGGAGCCCCGAACAAGCCTGTTTGCCAAAAAGAAATGTAAGAAAAAACAGATTGAGACGTTCATGATGGAATTTCACGCAAACAAAGCTCCAATTCTAATTAAAGCAAAACGAAACATACCTCCAGGTGCAGGCGCAGGAGCCCCTCCAAAGATACTACCCGGTGGAGGCGCAGGTGCCCCAAATGCGGGTGCAGGAGAAGCTCCAAAAGTACTCCCAAAGGCACTTGGGGCTGGTGTTGGCGCCGCCCCAAACAAACCAGTCGAGGGGGCTGGAGCCCCAAATGTGCTAGCGCCAAAGGCAGGAGTTGGTGCTGGTGCCCCAAAGGTACTCGCTCCAAAAGCAGGCGCTGGAGAAGCTCCAAATGCGGGCGCAGGAGCTGGGGCCCCAAACAAACCTCCTGATGGGGCAGGGGCTGGTGCTCCAAACAAACCACCCGGGGCAGGGGCTGGTGCGCCAAAGGGAGATGCATTGTTGGTGGCGCCAAATCCTCTCCACAAATGCGGGGGCTGGGGCTGGAGCGCCGAATCCACCCCCACCAAACGTACTGGTAGCACCACCACCAAAAGTGCTAGCTCCAAAGCCACCAGGAGCTGGTGCTGGAGCCCCAAATCCAGTCGAGGGCGCTCCAAAGGCGGGCGCTGGGGCAGGAGTACCAAAGGCAGGAGCTCCAAACGCGGGTGCTGGGGCCCCAAAAGGGGCAGGGCTTGGACTACCAAATCCACCAGTGGGTGGAGGTGACCCGAAAGGAGAATTGTTGGCTGGGGCTCCAAACATTTCGACCTTTTCAGTTAATTGTTGCTATTTTCTTGCAAATGACTTGTGATTAATTCACGTAACAAATTCCTAGGAAGCTGGAGGGATTCTAATGTTACTGACGCTCTTGTGTGTGTAGGTGTGTAACAAACAGCAGCACGGAAGCTTTGGTTGCTGCTATTTCTCTTGGCCACGTTGTGATCACAACGGCGAAATCAATTTGTCTCTTGTCTCGCTGCTGCTTTGCGGTGAGACGTTCAACGCCTTGTCCAGCGCGTTCTGCACGTTTCGACTACGATTAGCTCTCTCTCTCTCTCTCTCTCTCTTCCAAATTCCAACACACAATGCAGCAATCGATGGTGGCCGATGGCAGCTTATGGTAGGCAATGATACCGGAAGACTAAGCAAGGAGATGAAGACCACAGCTTTGGAAGGGAAGAGGATCCACAATAATGGCTGCAGCACAAAGCGATGGCTTTGGCGCTGTCAAGGAGGGAAGCAGGTAGGCGCAAAGTGCGAAAAATATAGCCTTGCGGGAAAACAACGCAAAGATTTGCAGATTTGATCTGGGCTTCTGGGTCGCTCGAACGATGGCAACACTCAAAGACTGCAAGGTCCTGAAACGGGACTCAAACGATAGTTTCACGCTTTTTGTTAGTTTCACGCTTTTTGGTTAGTTTCACGCTTTTTGGGTTAGTTTCACGCTTATTGGGTTAGTTTCACGCTTTTTGGGTTAGTTTCACGCTTTTGGGTTAGTTTCACGCTTTTGAGTTAGTTTCAAGGAAAAGGTGGTCCATTTTCGGTGAAACTAACAAAAAGCGTGAAACTAACCCAAAAGCGTGAAACTAGTCCCATTTTCAGGACCTTGCTGGACCCACGGCTGTTGGACCCTCGGAGCTGTTGGTTCAGGAGGGACATAGACAGTACTGTACCGGTGCATGATGGAACTGCACATGCTCAGTCTTTGATCTACATTCTCACATATGCATAGAATATAGGGAGGGGAGTAGCAAAAGCTAAGCACCTTATTAGTTAAAGTGACGTGGGCTGTACCCGCCTGCAGAACTACCTGCATGAAAGTGTCTTCCGGCTGCTATTAATACATGTATGAGCAGCTTATGAACTATGTATGAAATTTTTTTCGCTGTTACGATTTGGCTTTTTCATGTGGAGGTTTTAGTTGTGTGAAATGGCAGAGACAAAGCAAGCATACGGTGGACATGTTCAGCAGAAGGTTTATCAAG